TGAGTTATTTTTATGAAAACATTTCCCATGAGAATGAAAACAACTTTTTTCTGTTTTCTACAAGTACACATGAACTTGTTTTCATTTTATAAAAACATTCTCAATGTTTTTTGTTTTTGGGCCACCGAACAAGTTTTTGCCTCATTTTTGTTCTATGAAAATGAAAACAACTCCTTAAAACGTTACCAAACGGGCCTGGCCATAGAATACAAAGTTTCAAATTGCTTTGTAAGTTGTAATTATGGCTATCATATTAATTTTCTCCATGTGGGAGTCATTGTTAGAGTTCAAATATTAATTTAAAGAGGTCCCAGTGGGAACTTTACCCCCTGGGATTTTAGGTCGCTAGTTAAATAAATCTAGGATTAATGTTAAAGAACTCCTACACATAGCTTTAACTGTTAAAATAATGTCAGTGTTGACCAAAGTATCCATGATGTTAGCTCAATAACAGTTACAAGAGAATCCTATACATCGCAACAATTCTACAAGTTTCAGCTACAAATTTGCTGGGAGGGATCGCCTGCTCTAATAGTCTTTTGAAAACCTGCCACAAACAAGCATTCCTTAAATTTACAAGATACATTATTAAAATTCAAGATTATTTCTCTTTGAAAAATACTTACGGTAACATGCAGACAGAGTGCAACTGTTACCTCTTCTTCACCAAAAGCTGTTCGACTAGTTGAGCGAAGAATACATTGAATAGAGTTTAGCGCATTCCATTGTAGTTTAGCTTATGCTTCCGAGGCAAGAGAACTACAAACGAGCATAACTTGGATATTTAGGCAAAGCAATAGCTAGCTACTAAGATAATGACATTGCACCATAAAAGTACCTTCAGATATGCTGCAAAAGCTTTCTCGGGGGAAGATCGCCCCAGGGTCTGCTCTATTCCGGCAAGAGACAGCCAGAGCCAGGCAATTTTTACTGTTGAGAACAAGATACAACTAATTAATGAGTTTTAGAGGCGCATTACCAGAGTTGGCAGTTTCAAAGGGTACACAATGTATTCCCTTCATCAAGGTGATTGCAGAACTCTATAATTTGAAGACCGTATTTCACCTAAAACGAAAGAGAAAAATTGAAAAGCATACCTTGACCATGATGGAACAAATTTACTATTTAGCATAGCATCGTCATCTTCTTCGTTTTCATCATCTGATTGTTTGTATGGAGAGATTTCATATGACTGTTCTGGACGTGTATTGGCAGCAGAATTCCCATTGTCTATTGCTTTGTCTAAATTGCTCGGTACCTTAAAAATCACATGAAGTATCAGCATGAAGCTGTAAGACAAAGTAATGTACATGAAATATGCAGCCATTTATGTGCAAGAAAACTTTCTAAAGGTGGCTCAGGTTGGAGTTTACAATAAGCTGTTAGTAGTTACCCTCCAGCCTGCAGCAAAAGCTCAGAAATTCTCTTTCACATAGGCCTCCGTAGTATGAACTATGCAAGTAAAACCACTCAACATATGAATAAATGTTATTTCAGAGGAAGGAATAGGTTTAATTGTCTCGTGTGC